CCTTTCATATAATATTATTCAACAAAAACAAAATACTTTTCCCACACCATTGTGTTCTGTCCAAAATCGAGTCTTTATAGAAGTTATTTAGATCTAAATTCTTTTTAATGGTTTATAAAGTTTTCTCGTTCTTCCTCTACGTTGTACTAATAGCCTGTCCTCCATTTAATCAACTCTATTTCTGCAGCTTCTATTGGTCTTCTTTCACATGATCATACTATCTTTGGTGCAATTCTACATTATTTTTTCTAAGAGCTGCTACCCTCGCTTTCTCTCTGCTAAGAGTAGAGTACTAAGCATGTTTAGTATGCTCGAGCTACGAGGGACAAAATGGCTATGGAAGATATATCTCTACATATATAGAATTGCTAATGGTCAACAAACCTGAGAAAAATTGACTATGACAGGAAGAATATGTGCCACACAATCCTGAGGCTCCAACAATTTTCCTAGAGCTGCACAACCCTCAACAGCAAGCAGCCGAACAGAATCTTGATCTGCAAGAACAAGGGTCAAGAAATCATTGGTTAATACACGCAACTCCATACAACCAATCAACTTAAAAAATAGACTAAAATAGTTATTCCACAAATGACCATAATGGACTAAACCTGTATTTATTTCTCCCATTAGTCACTCTAATATACTGACAAACAAAAACTTCAGCATGCCAAGGTTCCTGATAATATTATAAGGAAGAATGATACAATTGTTCTATTCATGACTAGCAGTTATGTGAATCTCACTTGAACAGGTCCACCATCTGGCGTCTTCCTAAATAAAAATATTATCACTGTTCCTTTTATTGCAAAGATCAATAACAAAAGGCAATCAGTGAAAGTCTGCAAGTGTCTGCTGTTATTTATAAACTTTTAACATACATATTTCGCCTTTTATACCAAGATTTTGGACCAAGAGGAAACTAAGATAAACAGAGATCAAATATGAACAGTTGGGAACCATTAGACTGTTACATAATATTTTTTGTATTCTAGGGTGTTTACTTTCATGAATACCTTTCAGATTAACATCACGCATGAAATAGTTGAAATTTCTCTAAGACTCCAAAAATACCTTAATCAGATGCAATCTTCTATTTTGTTTTCAGTTTCTTTCTTGTTAGTCTTGTGAACTTAAATATATCTAATTCCCAATCTAGACGAGGTGATTATAGACAAACATAAATCCCTAGAAGAAACAGATAGCCTGAGTAATGTCATTCACAGCTAACTAACTACGTGGGTCCTCAACTCATCTAAGAAGAAAATTTTTTGAACTATATACAATTACAAACACTAAAACTGTTGCCTCTATCCTACTATTATATAACAGATTAATGATGAGATGCTGAAATTCGCCACATCATCTTCACATACCATCTTGTGTAAGATCCTCAAACACAGACATGATGTCTGATTTCAAGTGAGGAGCTTCAACGGTGGCAGCAAACTTTCCCAAGTTTGTAGCAGCAGATCTCCTAACCATCGGCATATCATCTTGACAGAGCTGGCCATATATGGCTCTCAGTTCAGTCTTCACCACCTCCGGCGCACTAGGGTAAGCAATATGGAACAAACCACAAGACGAAACTCGTGCTGTGAACCACTCGCCAGCAGCCAGCCTCTACAACAACCAAAATAACAAAAACAATGAATCCCACTCAAACCACAATCAGACTCATAATATAATCCTATTTAGATAAATTCCTCGTGAGCAAGTAAAATGAAATGAGGCCTAAGCTCAAATCAACGTATGCATTTAATTTTCAGAGAAATTATTTTCATTAACTTCTCCGAAACCTAAGGGGCATAATTTGATTTTATAGCTTATGGAAAACTCACTTCAAAGAACTTACAATGAAGTTTATACAAACAAAACCTAAAATGCTGAATAAAAACGCAGGCAACTATGTATATGTACTACCTTAACTAAAGGAATGAAGTGTTCAACCAAATCCTGCTCCTTCATCTGAGCCCCAATCCTACACAGCGACTCCACCGATTTGTCTCTGACGCAAGTTTCCTCAACGGTGCAGAGCGTCTCCAACGGAGGAAGAAGCACGTTGGCGTGTTCCACGCCTCCCACGTAGGGAATGAACACACCCAATTCTTCGGCCATTGCGAGAAGCACTTCATCGTCATCGTCGTTGTTCTCGCTGAGAAACGGAATCAGCTCCTTCCGCGTCCGCTCCTCGCCAAGCGCCCGCGCGATCGTGGAGAGCCGTCGGATCGAGTTCAGCCGCAGCTGAATATCCTCGTTCTTCAGCTCATCGATCAATACGGCAATCGGATACAGAGGCTGGTCCACCATCGCCATGTGGTTTCACCGGATCCTCAAAAACTGCAAGGATCGAAGATCAACGATTCACTCGATTTCAATTAAGCTAAAATTCAAAACACAAAACGACAAAAGGAAAGAGCGTGAGAGAAACAATAAATCTACAATACACTTCTTGATCTAAAGCAATTGAGCCGTAGTTCGAAGAGAAATTGAAAAAAAAAACTGAGAAAAAAAAAATGAATGAATGTGTTGCTGTGGCAGAGAGAGAAAGAGAGAGAGGGAAGAAAGAGAAGTGATGTTGTGACACCTGAAAGGAAATTTGTTGAAGGACGGAGAGGAATGGGAATGTAGCGCGGATCGGATCTGCCGTTTGGATTGGGAGAAAATTGGATTTATAATTTTCCCTGGAATTTCACCATTCTCGAGGGTGTAACTGCTTCTTCTCCTTGTATTGTTCATCATTGGCTGCAAATTTCTTCTTATAATTTTGAAAAAAAAATATTATAAAAGATTGTAGCGTAAATATGATTTCTTCTTTAGAATAATTGAAATCAAACTACAAATAATATGCACTGTCAATTAATTCTTCTATTGTAAAAAAAAAGTTTTTAAATTTTTAAATTGTTTCCTTTTTAAATTTATTTTTTGTAATGATATTCCTCGGTTGGATTGTAAAGACAAAGTAATCCATACGTTGAAAAGAATTATAATATATATTATTATAGTTGTAGCAAATTTTTACTCTATTGTTATTGTGAGTGACTGAAAAGAATGAAAATTTAGAATAATTTACGACTAATAATTATAAATGGAGAGTATTTTAATCCAAGTATTTTTTATTTCTATTTCTATGTTAGGGAGTAATATTTTGAACGGAAGTAATAATTGTTTGAGCTTAACTTTTATGTATTGGGTAAAAAAGAGAATTTTCATATTGAAAATAATTATAGAAGTTAACATTTTCATATGATAATTTTTGTTGTTTGCATGAGTATTTTTATGCTTGTGTTATTTAGAATTAATTTGCTTAAGATTAAAAAATTAAATAAAACAATTTAGTGATTATTTTATCTGAAAAGTATAATTTGAAAATTTTAAATAAACATTTGGTTTAATGAGTTTAAATATGAGAATAAAGTAACAATTTTATCATATCAACAATTACATAACGCGAAAAATTTAACCACATCGAAAGCAAGAGTTTGTATATTCATAACCATATCAAAATAAAACATTTTATATTCATAATGACGATATAACATATTATACATTTGTTAAATAATCTTGTATATATATAAATTATGTCAAATTGTGTTATGAGAAACATTTTATGTCTATTTATGATTTTGATTTAACCAATGACATCAAATACTTATGAGTAATCACATTAAAAATAAAAATTTATTTAATTCAAATATTACATAAGTTAATTATTTACTTTTAACAATGTTTATAAAGCTTTAGTTAATTTTATCTGTAATGCTGTTATAAATGAGATGAGATCCTTGCAATAAAATAAATCGAAAGAATTTGTAGATTATCCGATTGGAAAAAAATTATTAGAATATCGATAGGGGTATGTAATATAATACACATGGTAGAGTTGAGAAATGCAAAGATATATTAGTAACATAGGAATATACACAACCATTTGAAATAAATTACACTAAAATATTTGTTCTCATATCCAAAATTAGCACATTTTGAGTATTGTTATCTCTAGTTTTAATTTATCCTTTCAACAATTTAATAAAAAAAATGTCTTCTTATATTGATAATTGTCTAAAGAAGTTTATATGAAATAATTAGAAACATTTGAGATTTTGAATACACAAGACAAAAAGGTATACGAGTTGAATAAATCAATATGTTGACTAAAACAACCAAGTCAGTGATGGTTTTTGAATGTCAACATAGCAACTAAAATCATGCATTACTTCTTATGATATATGTTGATTATATGATACTTATGAGAGATGATTTAGAAGAATACAAAACATTGAAATAGTACAAGAAATTTAAGACATGATCTTAAGTCTTTGAAATACTTCATTGAAACAGAGATCTCAAAATCAAACTTTAACCAAAAAAAAAATATATCAAAGACTTGTAATGTATTTCTTCCACACTAAATCAAATTTAACTCATGCTCTTAGTGTAAATAGCTAAACACATGAATGCTTTCTAAAATACTTCGGGAAAAGGAACTTTGTTAAAACCACCAACTATAGAGGTAACATCATAACATTAAAAGAAACAAAAGGTTGTAACTATATACATTACATATAAATACTAAAAAGAACGGTCTATGAAGGTTTCTTACCGATTCAAAATCCAGTTAGGTACAATTTCTCGTTCAATTGTATTGTGATAATAATAGTTGCAAGATGTTTGGTGTCCTGTTCAGGATGACCTTCATAAAGGTTGATAATCTTTTTCATAAGAAAAAAGCTTGATATATTATTAGGACAAGTCACATTATTATTGGAGATTATTAAATAAGTTAAGAATATATAACATTCATTTTCCACCTCAAGAGCAAGTATTTATATAAATATCTTTGATTACATAAAATGTGAATTTATATAGCAATAAAAAAAATAATAATGAAAATTTCCTTAATTTAGTGTGATTTATAAACTTTCTTCTTTAACTACTGAGTAGTAAGAGTAAAATCCTAAAACGACAAACGTGTCTATATATATAAAAAAAATACATAAATTAAAATCACATGATGAATTATTTTTTGTTTTTATCATACAAAATTATATAAATAAAAATCATAGAGGAAATCCTATTACCTTAGTAATAGCACTCAGCGGTTGATTTAGGTGAGTTGTTCTGGGCTTACGAAGTCAATAAAGAATGATGGCTTTGAGGATGAGTTCAGTTGATCTCGAGGAGAAAAAAAAGGTACACACTATGATTTTGGGATTTCAGCATTTAATTCAGATTAGTCAATGCTGCCATTTCTCAAATTCTCAATCCTTGACCGTCAAAACATTACACAACCGGTTCAAAAACCCTCCAGTTGTTGTTGGTGCTTGCTCAAGAGGGTCCTTAAATTTTGCTCTCTCGCCTAACTCTTCGAAAGAATCTACAAGGTTCTGGAGCCTTGCCACAAACTCGATCAGAAGGGATGTAAAAGTGGCTAGAGACAAAGAACTAGCACTTTCATACGTTTTAGATTCTTCCTCTTTTGTCACTGCATCTGCTGTGAAGGAAATATGATCAGGCCAAGATATCTGTTTCCTGAACATGTTTTCATCACCAACACCTACAGGCACTGCAGGTTTCTTCTCAGGAGCTGCTTGTTCTCCCCAACCTTTTGGAACTTTGACAGCTCTGAGATCAAGCACAGCTTCACTTAGAGACTTGTACTCCAAAAAGTGTCTTTCTTCATCCACGTTCAAGAGATCTTGAGGATCACCCTCCCCTCTTGGCCGGTTTCCGATTTCCCAGCTCTCTGAATTCACAAGGAGGAAGGACTTTTTGTCAATTTTCTGCTGCAATTCTTCTGCTGCCTCGTGTACTTCGTAAAGAATGTCTTCCTCGCCTAGTTTCTCCATTTTTTTTACTTTGTTTCCGAGATCCCTTAGAATTTTTGCCCCTTCAGAACCTACCTTCTGAAGCTCCCTTCTAAAGACTTGTCTCTTCTCTGGTGGTGCCTGTTTATTTACAAGGGAGGCTAAGTACACGTGTTTTTGCATAAATCATAAAAAAAAAAACGTTTGGAATAAGAATTAAAATTTCCCAACTATTTAACTTTAAATTATCCGAAATTTTGAAGTATTCTCTGTCAGGAGAAAGAACACAAGAAAAGTAATGTAAAAATTCATTGAAATCATGAGCAACTATCACTTAAATTATAAAAGTGTCATTGTACCTCCCAAAAGTTACTAAAATGGCAGTCATTTTAGTCCCTAATGTTGTCAAACATCAATCGTTCTAATCTTTGAAATTAAAAAAATAACAACCAAAAATATTAATGGCTGGTATAAGGACTGAAATTAGATTTTTTATATTTTCAGGCACTAAATTAACTAGTAATTGTAATATCAGGGAGTAACTCGGTGCCTTACTCCAAAAATACATAGTAAAAAATATTTTAATAGATATCTGAAGTGTGTTTTTAAGATTGGAAAGAGTAGAGAAAGAGAGAAGAAGAAAAGTTTCCCAAAATTTCTAAGAATTAATTACAAACCTATGAACTGTACAAATAGAAAAACAGTTAACAAAGATAGTTAACAATTCCTAACTGATTCCCAACTAACTCCTAACTAACTCCCTGATCTATAAAGTCTAAACCACATAATAACACCACTTATAGATGTTATGGATAAATTATTCCACCAAAGTTTCAAGCGTAAATCAACCACGCAGAGTCCTAGCAGTAAATTAGTTACTTCATATGATTAGGAACCATAAAAGCAATTGTAAAAGTAAATATTAGAAGAACTGGAACACATTATACCAATATACTGTTTTTGACAAGAAATAGAAAAGTGAAACAGTACTTTGGCCTCATAAAAACTTGAGTTCATGCAGTGACTATATTCAACCTACGAGAATGAGAAAAGACAGCACTGATTAGCATGTCAAATATGACAAGGTGAAAACAACCTCAAGTTTATCCGATTTCATGCCAAAAATAACAGAAAAGGATTTTTAAGCCAGAAACTATATACTGAGTCCCAGTATGTATCAGGTACCAGTAGTGACACATGGGGTATAGTTGGGTTAAAGTCAAGATCTGACTGCATCTCTCGTTCAGCCACTAAGAATACAAGATTTTCGAGCTGAAGGGGTTAATAGTGGATAATAAAAGTTAAGAGAAGCTGAAGTAATATTAGCTTTCTGAACTTGGGGATCAAAGTAATTGACAGTGGATTACAAAAAATGAAGCTAAATTCCAGTATGTGTGATTAAAATTGATTTTTCCAGGTCTAAGGTTTACAATCAGTAGACATTTCTCTATAAACCCAAATGACTTAATTTAATAGTCGATCTCAGTTTGGGAAAAAAATACTTAGATGAAGTTTGTTAAGTGCTTTTGGTTTTGTTCTCTGGTCACAATTAAGGGTTCAGCTGAATAACCTATGCTGACCCATAGTGCAAATCTTTATATCAAAAGTACTTAAAGGAACTTCAAATACGTTTTGTTCTAATGAATCCTCATGTTCTGACCCCACACATTGCTAGCCTCAAAACACCAACAGTCGAACCTGGAGTAATTTTTTAATCCCTATTTAAATAAATTATCAATGATTTTTGTTGGAAGTCCCACATTGACTAGAGATAACGTCAATTTAGAGTATATAAGTGGGAGAAAACTTTGCCTTACAAACCGGTTTTGTAGAGTTGAGTTAGACTTAAAGTTCACTTCTTAACATGGTATCAGAGCTAGGTTAGAGCCATGTTGAAAGTCTCACATCGACTAGAAATAAAGTGTATATAAGTGGATGCAAACCTCACCTTACAAACCTATTTGTATATTGCAAAACCAAATCCTAAAACCGTCCACCAAAAGTAAATACAAAAGATTCTAAAGACTTTTAAGTCTTTGGAACAGAAAAGTTTTAAGAAGTACCTGTATTTCAGAAAGTATACATCCATGCATAGCCATGACCATAAATGCACAATGCCTTAGAGCCCCACTTACTTTCACATAATTTTGCCATGGATATCTAAGCATTTTATATCTTCCATGAGGTGGCTCCCATACAGCAAAACCCATCTTCAATAAGAAATACGTATTAATGAGTCAAAAGGATAATCAATATTTTGCTGTGAAAAGTGAAACAGAACAAAAATAGATTATACCAATGAATCCTCTGTGCTTGTAGATTCAACAGCTGATCTATAGCCTTTGTAAACCACATCCTCAGCAGCTTGGTATGTAAGAATTTTAGAAGGCACTCTCTCGTATTCAACACAATTAAGATAGTTATTAACAACGCCTGAAAAAGAAGCTCAAAAACTTTATTCAACCCAAGAAATAAGATTATGAAGCCACACCAAAATATTAGTTGGTAGTCTATTACAATTCCAAAAACTAAGACAACCTTCCAATGATGCAGCAACGCCCACGAAATTTTTTGCCACAAGATTATGCAGATCCTCACCGGCCCATATTGGATATATGCATACATTTATCCCGAGTGCGACAGCAGCACCAAGTGCAATGAGCAAAAATCTATTTATAGCTGTTTGAACAAACTCTCCTGTTCGATACCCTGATACAATAATGTAGCAATAGGTGATCAAGAACACACGGAAACCATATTCATAAGCCTTCATTGTTGGATATTGTTTTGCATATGTGGCACAAAATCCTGCCAGTCATACATAATAACACTGTCAGAACAATGCATACTCAAAAAAAGAAAAAAAATTGATGAATCTTTATCAGCATAAGAAACAGATGTGATTCAAATTCCAGACCTACAGTGAAGATGCTAACAGTTATGATTAGCTCTTCCCATTTTCCAGCCAACTGTGATAAGATTCCCATTCCCAAAGCTAGACCTCCAGCTAACAAAGTCCCCAGTCCTCTGTTAAGTCCTTTGCTAAGAGTTGCCCCTGCAGGATTACATTGTCACAAATTATTGTTTATAACTAAAATTAGAATTTACGAATACATGTTTTACTTCAGCCAGTGATTTTTTATAAAAGTATTGAATTTAATAAAAGATGAAGTACATGAACACAGTTGAATTAAATAAGTAGAGGCCTTGGAACATGCAGCAGAAAAAAACTATAGCCTGTGATTTCGTTCGTTACAAGACAGAAGAAATCTATAAGGAGACAGTAAAATATATTTAATAAAGGAAACAATATTACTTTAAAAGCTCAAAATAATATTTAACAAAAAAATTGAGTTTTCCCGACCACTGCCCTGAACACACTGGTCAACAAGTACTTTTCCTTGGATTAGTATTAGTTTTCTAGACAAACTAACTAAATTAACAGAACCAACGTATCACTCTACCACGANAAAACTTTATTCAACCCAAGAAATAAGATTATGAAGCCACACCAAAATATTAGTTGGTAGTCTATTACAATTCCAAAAACTAAGACAACCTTCCAATGATGCAGCAACGCCCACGAAATTTTTTGCCACAAGATTATGCAGATCCTCACCGGCCCATATTGGATATATGCATACATTTATCCCGAGTGCGACAGCAGCACCAAGTGCAATGAGCAAAAATCTATTTATAGCTGTTTGAACAAACTCTCCTGTTCGATACCCTGATACAATAATGTAGCAATAGGTGATCAAGAACACACGGAAACCATATTCATAAGCCTTCATTGTTGGATATTGTTTTGCATATGTGGCACAAAATCCTGCCAGTCATACATAATAACACTGTCAGAACAATGCATACTCAAAAAAAGAAAAAAAATTGATGAATCTTTATCAGCATAAGAAACAGATGTGATTCAAATTCCAGACCTACAGTGAAGATGCTAACAGTTATGATTAGCTCTTCCCATTTTCCAGCCAACTGTGATAAGATTCCCATTCCCAAAGCTAGACCTCCAGCTAACAAAGTCCCCAGTCCTCTGTTAAGTCCTTTGCTAAGAGTTGCCCCTGCAGGATTACATTGTCACAAATTATTGTTTATAACTAAAATTAGAATTTACGAATACATGTTTTACTTCAGCCAGTGATTTTTTATAAAAGTATTGAATTTAATAAAAGATGAAGTACATGAACACAGTTGAATTAAATAAGTAGAGGCCTTGGAACATGCAGCAGAAAAAAACTATAGCCTGTGATTTCGTTCGTTACAAGACAGAAGAAATCTATAAGGAGACAGTAAAATATATTTAATAAAGGAAACAATATTACTTTAAAAGCTCAAAATAATATTTAACAAAAAAATTGAGTTTTCCCGACCACTGCCCTGAACACACTGGTCAACAAGTACTTTTCCTTGGATTAGTATTAGTTTTCTAGACAAACTAACTAAATTAACAGAACCAACGTATCACTCTACCACGATAGAATATTTTAACTGAATTTCTTCTACCTACTTCCCAATGACCCAATCAAAATACAAAATTATATGTCTACTGAAAAGGTTTAAGGCCTTTATGCACTAAAACAGGCATATTCTTCGACAATTCCCCCTTGAGGAAGAGGAATTAAAACCCCCAAAACGAAAACGAAAATAAAAATAGGAAACAATTATCTTAATCCATAGCGGATACGAATGACAACAACTTGAGCACAGACAACACTTTATATTAATTAGGTCTTATAATTAAAAACAAAAAAGAAAGAGACATGAATTTGGTTGTCAATCGCATGTTCCAATTTTGTATGTTACTTTAGGTTTAAGTGATAAAAGGACTAAGTTCGAGCCAATTATACGAATCACGTGCAATTCTAGACACTAATAATAAATGTCTTTCTGGAAAGAAAAAAGTACAAGGAAAGAGGTATACTTGTTAAATGTTAAAAAATAAAGCTATGATTGTGATGAACAACATGCTTATATCTAATGATGAGAGTTTAATTCAGGTACATAACACTATATGAGTTTTCTATACAGTTTTCTACACCGACCCTCAATTAGAAAACACACTCAGGGGCATCCAGTGTATTTATGTATATAGTATTTATATATGTTATTCGACATTTTTTTTGCATAGATATATTCAACTTTAAATTAGCTATAATTTCAATATTTGCTAATCTCATCTTAGCAAGCTAAATTCCAAAATATTCTTTTAGAGTAAAAATTCCACGATAATTTAGGTTAGGAGATGTAATTTTTTCTTTTTATAGTTTCAATTTTTATTGTATATATGACCCACATTTGTCCTAAGGAGAAATACTCTTGGCTAAATCGCATACGACACTATAAATAATAGTGAATTCAACACTCAAACTACATAATAAATCCAAAAAGAAACTTAATCCAAAGAAACCCTACTACTTTCTATTTAAAAAATCAAATCCAAATTTTAATATAAAAAACAACAAATGAACCAATTCAGGTGGGGTCAACTAGATTCTTGACTTTAAGTAAGCATTAGGAATTAACTAAATAAGATTAACTAGTAGTATCAAATTTAATTTACATCCTAAAACGTTAAATAGTGTGTTAATTTACAAAAAAATCATGATTCTGACAAAAAATCTCTCCAGTAATATTTTTCAAGGATTTGAGAAAGATTGTTCTGAAGAATTTTGAAAAAGGAGAGTAGATTGAAGGTTGAGATACCTATGCTGAATTCGAAGACCACAACGACAGTGAGAATAGCCCAAACGGAGTATCGACTAACGTCCTCAAAGGGCTTTTTGAGGAAAATCAGAAGAGAAAGGAGAATGAGAGCGAGTCCCATTTTTGCGGAGAATATGATCTTCCTGGGATCAGACATCCCCATCTCCCACGCTCGCGCCGTCACGCGCTTCGTGCTCTTCCACGCGCCGATGATCCCGTCGGAGACAGCGCGGTATGAGCAGCATCGCCTCCGCGGCGAGTTGTCCTCCTCGTCGGACTCCGGCAGAGCGATCCCAATTTGGGAGTAACCTCCACCCTTCATGGAGAGCAGCCTCTCTTTCTTCTCGGCGAAGCTGTGACGGAAGGAGCCCAACTTGGGCACCCTCGCCGCCGAACTCATCATCGCCGCCAAAATCGGAGCAAACGAGAATCTGAGAAGTTTAACTAAACGCAGACGCGAGTTTGGAATTGCTAGAAAGGTGGAATAGTGTTTCCGAAACGTGGCGGTGTAGGAATGCTATAGATGTTAAGTCGTGTTTGTTTGTGGTAACGAAGAGTCACTATGTACATAACGTGATTACACGACGAGGTGGGTCTCCCGATTGTATGTAGACTTAAATGCATATTTCTTATCCATTTTCTATTTCGTATCATTTTCTATTAATTTCTTTTTAGTATCCAGTTTTAAAAGTGTAGACATTAGATTTTAAAGTTGTTAAAATACAATAACGGAGTTAACTTCGACTCACATGAAAAAAAATCTATATTGGAGTTAACTTCGATTCACATGACAAAAAAATCTATATTTTTTCTTCTCTCTCCTCTGTCTTTTCCTGAAATGTCCCAAGCTTTTTTTTTATATTTTTATTAAATGTTTTTCTTGCAACACCTATCTCCATTATCAATTTAGAAAACACCTCCATGCCACTGCCCGCAAATAAGTTAATCACCCAACACATTTTCATGCAAATAAGCTAATCACCCAACACACATTTCATGGCAATAACAACAACAAAACTAATAAAACTGTGTTGAAATACTTCACGGACACCCTTTAAGACTACTTTTATGCAAAATACTTCAGCATCACATAGAATAAGGTTGAAACCATCAAATGAATGTTGGCTCCGTGTTGGTAAAATATACATTGGCATATTCACAAACACATAGAGTGCATGTTATTTGCCCCCACTTTTCCCCATTTGACTAGGTATCCAACACAACTAACCATACAAGGAAAAGCAAATTACAAAATTACATAGTATTTATTTGATCAGAAACTGCATATTTTGGTGTCTGCAATACTTTAAGGCCTACAAGATCCATTCACTGTAGTTGGCAAGCTTGATTCAGGTTCCGGTCGAATCTGAGGCTTTAATTAAAATCAGACATGTCTTTTTTTTTGTTAAAAACAAAAACCCCCAAAGAGAAGAATTCAAATAAAACCCTCAAAGTGAAATCTTCAAATAAAACAAAGAATGCGAGCTTGTTCCTCTCAGCCTCCGCACAACCGGTATCCTCCTTCGACGACGTCGTTCCCGCCTCCACCGACATGGCACGTGCTGCCGTAACAGGCTTCGGCAGTTTCGCTGGTTACCGTCGCGGAGGCACAACAGCAGCAACCGCGACGAGAACGGACCCGACAATAATTGCGACAATGGCACCCGCGGAGAGCTTCTTGGACTTCGTACGCGTCGTGGTCGGGGTCGAATTGGAGGAGGGAGACGGCGCTGGAGTCGAGAAAAAGGGGTTGCAAGCCTTCAACGGTGGGCCACAAAGATCTACGTTTACTGCGGGCCATTGTGTTCCAAGAAAAGGCCGATGAGGTGGGTTAAGTTGTTGATGGAGAAAGGGATTTGACCGGTGAAGTTGTTGGAGAAGAGATCCAAGTGAGTGAGACGAGCGAGGTGAGTGAGACTCGGAGGGAACTCACTGGAGCTATGTTTATTTGGGAGGTAGATGTTGCAGAGCAAAGAAAGAAAAAAAAAATTTAATAAAAATATAGAAAAAAGAGAAAAAGTTGGGGGCATTTGGACTCAATTTATACAATTTTGACAACTTTAGGACCTAATGTCTGGACTTTTAAAATTGAGTACTAAACAGAAATTCACCTCTTAACATGGGGACGAAGTAAGCATTTAAGCCTATTATGTAATAATCATCTAAATTATTCTACTCTATCTATAGGATAATTCTGACAACATTTTAACACTGCTTATGTATTATTCTGTGATTGGTCTATATTAATATTTATGATTATTATTATTGATTGTGAAATAATTTTGTACCAATTACATAATAACACGTAGATGTTGTTAAAATATTGTGAAAGTATCATTATCCTTATATTTAACTATATATATATATATAAAGTGAATATGTTTTGTATATCCTATTCTATTATTTTTGTGATTATTTTTCCTCTTAATAACTTTCGAGCAAGCCACAAAAAGTTATTTTAAGTGAAACTTATTCTCGAAACAATTTTCATAATACTGGTATCTTTAAATTCATTTCATTTACATTTTTTAAATTACTCATACATTTAAATAATTATTTTAAAATACAATAAGTAAAAGTTAGTATCAATTTTCTAAAATATAAAAACATTGTTTTCT